CAAGGTGGGATCTTCCACAAGGTATTCGAGGTAAGTGTTGGAGCCTCCGACGATGATGGGGAGGTGTCCTCGTTGGGTGATGTGTTCGATCGCAGAGATGACATGGTCGCAGAAATGGGTGGGAGAGTAGTCGAATTCGGGATCTTCGATGATTCCCAGGAGGTGGTGCGGGATTCCTCGTCGCTCAGATTCTGGGACCTTGTTTGTGATTATGTCTAGACCTTTGTAAACTTGGATCTTGTCGGCGTTGATGATTTCAGACGGGAAATGGGAACCCAGGTCAATTGAAAGCTTGGTTTTTCCTGTTCCAGTTGATCCCATGATGAACACAACCTTCTTCTTGTTGTAAGCAGCCATTTGTTCTTCTTCACAGCTGAAAAGCAAACTAACAACATAATAAAAGTTTATTTAATATAATATGAAGTATGTACTACGACCCACACACACACACATATAATGAAAATGATATTAGTTAAAGGCTGGAAATGCCTAAAATTTTTTTGTTCAATTTTAAGCATTCCATGCGATGCACACAAAACGAAGTTGAAGAAAACAATTGACAGTTAAAAAAACTCAAAAATTATTTTACTATATTGATATTTCTCCATATTGTACGAAATGAAATTGATCTGAAAACAGCATTTCCTCAACAGAGAGGAAATTTCATTTCACAAAACCGATATATATATATATATAACTTCTCGTATAACTAAAATAGAAATCGAGTATGATGAACAAGACCAATCACCTGAAAGACTTCAGATGAAATCCTCTGAGATGAGGAAGAGAGATCAAAGAGCTCCTAATTGTGTGTTCTAACATTTCGATGGGCCTGTATTTATACATGCACCGCCATACCTCCAAATTAATGAGTTAAGAATATGCATTGTACATGAAATATAGTGTGAGATCCACCATTAATTACCATACAATGTTCCTATTCAACTTTTGAAAAGTAAAAGAATAAATATAACATATTTACTTTTTCCTTTGCGAAATTATATAGCTGAACAAAGGAAAACCCTCGTAAGAAAAAAAATTAAGCTTGTGGGGTGAAGAAACTAAACGTTTCGTTCATTTAATTCAGAAAGAGTCCTACAATTATCTCGGGTTTGGATCCTCTCAGAGCGTGCGGTAAAGTCGTGAAATGAATGAATGATTAAAACATATTTACTAAAATCATGATAACCTTTTTTAAGAGCTTGATATAAATTAAGAGCATGTTTCGAGCGAATTCGCTCAACCGAATCAATCCAAAATTAAACGAAGCTTATTGATTTTGATTTTAATGTTTGTTACTATTTATGCAGACATAATTGTATTTCTATTTGAAAGTAATTTTCAAGTTCTACAAGTTGAATATTTGAATTGAGAAAATTAGTTTGTACATTGCTTTCTACATGGGTTTTGGTTGTCATACGTTCATAATACAAATAAAAGAAACTTGTTTTGCTGAAGGTGTGTATATTCACATTAATTACAGAATCTGGGATTCTAATACATTATTTACTTTTAATTGTGATTAAGATTATAATATTGAACTAGAAGAAACACCACGTACTAAATGCATCGGATATTAAAGATTGTAAGCTCTGACATTAAAGGATCAATCGTATGATTTTGATCATAACAAAATTATAAATTGAATGGTTTCTAATATATTTGATTTGATGCATTGCATAAGACTTTTATATTATAACACAAAATCGTTGTTAATATCTTAATGCATGGGATTGTATGTTTTAACGCGGTTGAGGCATGAATAAAACAATCACTATTTGACACTGGAAAATGGATGTTGCTGATTATTAATTGAGAAGATCGAAGGACCTTCACCTCAAAAGGAACATTTTAAAATATATAATTATATGTAATTCTTTTTTAAGTTAATAGGGCATATTAACATCTCAATCAACAATTTTTCCGCCAAGATCAAATTTATTAAAGAGTAAAACGATTACAACATTTTTTTTTCAAAAAACAAAATTAAAGCTCATTTGGTCCTAGATGACCAAGTGGGCCATACGAGACAGAGAACATAAAGAAAACCGAAACAAAGACCCATAACAAGAGACACAAACAAAGAAACATAAGAGCCCAAGGAAAAATTTTTGTATGAACTTGGTCATAGGAAGCATTTAGTTTTGCCCCGAGTGTTTAGACTGTAAGCTGTGTAGCAAAATACTTCACGAGTGATCAAGGCTTAAATTCCATGTTTAGTGTCCCACAGCATTTTCGAATATGATTACCTTCAACAACAGAAAAAGCTATGCGTAGCTTAAAAAAAATAGTTAGATTCTATCAACGACTAGTTGCCTCAGTAAAAATGTCACCGTCATGTTTAGATGAGATTTTATATTTGAATTCGGGATTGACATGTTTGTACGTACGCATATATTTAATTTTATTATATTAAAAAAATAGTAGTAGTTGTTGTTGGATTCAGAATGAGAGATAAAGCTAAAACATAAAACAAGACATTACATGAGGCAGTTCTGGCGGAGACCCTTGGGACAATCGTCCCAAAGATCATCAAACCCATTAACTTATGAGAATATATAATGCTGTCAAACCATCGGAACCAAAGGTAGCGGGCTTCGAATCATTGGTACGTGAGTACTTGAATTATTGTTGATCATTCATAAGTATGCTGGAGATATTAAAGTCAGTTAAGATCGTAGCTTAGTTTGTTGAGATCACAAATTAGTGTTAGGATTTATAAAAGGGTCTATAATACTACTTCCGGTTCTTAATATAAGAGCTTGTTTGACTTTTATTTTTGTACTAAATATAAAACCTCAATTCACTTTCTCTTTTATATTTATCCATTTTTTCCTAAGATGATCATTGTAATAATGGTAATTCTAGCCAATACACTTGATTAATAAGGATACTTTAGGAAAGACAATACTTATTTATCACAAATAACCAACTTAACTAATTTCTTTAATGTATTCAAATTAGTCAACTAGCTCTTATACTAGAGACCGGAGGTAGTATGTTTAATTAGTTGTTAAGGATAGTTGTGTCCTCATCTAGATGGTACGCAACATGGTCCCCATATCTCTTTATGTTCATACCCCCCCCCCCCAAAAAAAAGAAAAACTCACGAGTAGTAAATAATCCTGCAGGCAAACTCACCAAACCGTTGATTTGCAGAGGATTATCAAGATTTAATCAAATGCTAGATAACGCAAAACTATGAGATTTCTGAGGATAAGACCAAGAACCCGTCCAATAGCTAGTTTGTGCGGTATTATGAGGTGTGAAAAGATCTACTGGCAGCCCGGTTACTTGAAGCCATAAAGAAACTTGTCAAATATGCAGCTTTCTGGTATAATAAGAAGAAGAAGAGAGCCACTTATGAAAACCCATGGATCACTAGATAACATATGCTCAAGATCCATGGGAACCTCAAAGTAATAAGAAGCAAATAACTCCGTCCCGTAATGTTGAATGTAGCTTCCAATTATAACTGATGAGAGTCTTAAGTTTATCATGTGGATGAATTTTGCTGCTGTCCAAAAATCTTGGGCAAAAACACCATGCATGCCTGATGATCCTTGGTTGAAGATTGAGGAGTGGTAGTAAAATTCATTCTTTTGCGACGATTTCCAAGTCATGTATATATGTAGAGGAGAATTCCAACACCAGATAAGATAACACACAGGAAAATACCAGCAGAAAGCAGCAAGAAATTGTCGTGCCAGGACGAAACCAGCTTAAGCAAAGCAAGGCGGCAAAGTCCACCACCCACCGACTAAGAGCGAAATTTCTCTCCCCCTTTTTCGAAGTCCAATCAATATCAATAGTATCATACTTAAATGAATATAGCCCTTTCCAAATTATGTTTTTATCGGTAAGATGACAAACACAATTAAAGCAATACCGCTGCGTTAATTTTATTATTATTATTTTTTATTTTTGGGTGATTATTGAGAGCTTGATATTTGAAACACCCCACCACAATCACAGGGCAAGTTGTCTGAAATGGAATTGAAAAGACATATCGCTACAAAAAAAAAAACCCAAATACCGATGGAATTACTGACGAATATAAAATTACTGATGGAATTTTTGACGGATTTGTGACAGAACGAGATTACCGACAAAAATTCTTTCGTCGCTAATTTCATTTGCGACGAATCCGAAATTCCGTCGGTAATTTCTGACAGATTTCCGACAAAAATTCCATCAATAATTATCAACAGATTTGCGAGGGATAATTTCTGTCAGTAGTTTTTTGACGGAATATTCCGTGGTTGATCAGCCACGTAATTTGCGACGGAATATTCCGTGGCAAATCAACCACGGAATATTCCGTCGCAAATTAGCCACGGAAAATTCTATGGGAAAATCTGGGGCTAATCAGCCACGGAATATTCCTTGGGTAATTCCGTGGCTAATTTCCCGCACCAGTAATTCTGTTTTTTTGTTGGTTTTCTTATATTATAAAATTTATTTTATTTTGATTAATTGTTTAGTTTGTCAAGAGGAAGTAAAAGGTAATTGAATTTGTTGAAAATCAAGCATATTGTAATTAAAAAATATAGTCTTTCACAGATCCTGGATACATGAAATGTCAAATGTCAACAACTAAAAGGCAGAAATAATAACCCAAGCTGTCTAATAATAATGACCCTTAACTATCATTTTCTAAATTTCTATTGCTACTAAATGGCTTAGATAATCTAATTCCCATTCCCTCCAATGCAAACATGATTTTGCTGTAATTTTGTTTCATCTCTTCATGCTCTTGTTTAATTTGTTGCTTCCCCTGTGTAAGCTCTGTTATCCTCGTACGCAATTCAGTTTCAACATTAGGATTGATGCTAGTGCTGTTAATAGAAGGAGAAGATCCCTGAGGAGCACAAATATCATCATCCGCCTCGGATCCAAATCCATAGATGCAGCCCTTCTTGTTCTTGCCACCTATAACCTCTAACCATATATTAAATTCTTCCTAATTAGATTGCACGCTTAGAGAGCCTCTTTCAGAACTTAATTCTGCCTTTCTCCTTATAAACTCATCCTATAAAACAAAAGGTGTAGGATGAGGTAAGTGTATGTTTTATTTAAATAAGAATTCACAATCATGCATCACTAAAAAAAGAAATAATTCATCATGACATAATAAAAATTTAGTAGTTATGTTAAGCAAAACCATAATCAATAAAAAAGAAATAAAAATATCCCAATTTTGTATGATGGAAGGGGGAAAAAAATGAATCTGATGCCATGACACATGTTGAAGGTTATCCCAGAACACATGTTGATTTAGTAACAAATTTCAGGACATGTTCAAATTAAAACTATAAAATTTTCTTCTAGCAAATTGGTGCAGCAAAATATGAATGCCTCATGTGCTTTATATATATATATATATATATATATATATATATTTAAGGCAAGATCCTTTTCGACTTAATCCCAACTTCAAAAAAATAAATCCAGAACAAGTTAAATCTAAAGGAATAAGAGTGATATTTAGAAAAACCAATTTTCAAAAATAAAATTGCACCAAGAATAAGAAAGGATACCATAATTCACTAATTTATACCAGATGATGACATTTACCAATTCTATTAAATTGAACAATATGCAAATGTAACCCAAGTTCAACAACAAAGCAAAGCAGATTGGAGAGTAGCGTGTGTATAAGTTCTATAACTTCCAACAAGTCAAAAGCAATAGACTTTTGCCTAACACTAGTTAGCTTTCGATAGTCAGCACTATCCAAATGATTTAATATGACTAACATTCAATAAGACACACACTACAACTAGTCAGGCCTCTGGCCGTCAGCACAAGTTCAGATCCAATACAACAAACATTAGAAACATATACTCACATGAGCTAATTCTGCTTGCCGATCCGCAAATTTTCCGGTTTTATCATTTAAATGCGTCCTCTTGAATAGTTCAAACATAGTAGGGTCTCTTCCTAACTCCAAAGCCTGAAATTATTTACGAGTATGTATTACATATGCATTAAATAAATAATGATTTAATTTGAAGATAAATTCTTACTAGCCTCCTCTTATGCTCAGTATTAGGAATACTCCCACCTTTGTGTTGAGTGCCTCTTGAGGTTGAGGCTCAACTAACTTTAGCAATCTCACACTTGGCCTTATAATCTTTTGATGCCCATATTCTCTCTAACTCATTCATCACTTGATGTGGAATCCATTTAGCCCTAACTTGTTTTTAATACAAGTCTTGCTTGACAGTATGCATTGTATTTCTTAAAATTTATGTGCACTTTGTATTCCAAATTTTCTTAATGCCATCATTATACTGTGGCAACCATTTATATTTTCGCTGCATAAATGAGTAACAAAAAAAACATAAAGTAAACATAATGAGAGAAAAAAAGCTGAAAACATAAATAATTAGATATAAGATTTACCGTCCATTCATCAAACCACATTTTCTTGTACTCAAGGGGTGTTGCTTTCCAGTTAGAAACATGGATGGTCAAATTTTTCTTGAATAACAGAAAGAATATTTCGTATAGTAACAACAGCAGGATTAAACCCAATTACAATTTTGTAAAAAAAGTCATTATAAATGTTGTTAGAATGGCTTTAATAAACTAAATGAAGATGCGAAATAATATAACTTTGATAACAACTTACGTTTTCTTTTCAGGATATATCCATGTTTGACCATCTGAGGAATCATAACCCGATGGTGAAAAACTAGTAGGAGGGGCCTGTGGAGTAGGGGGATGCGAGTTTTCAGTTCTAGGAGATGGGATCTGAGGAGATGATGCTTGAGGTGATAATGAGGCTCTACTATCATATTGAGTCATCATTGGAGATAATGAAGATGACAATGAGGGTCTATTACGTTCTTCATTTATAATTGGAGATGAAGTGATCAAGTTTGCTCTATCACGCTTTAAACCACGACCTGTCATCTACATATTCAAGAACCTTGAGTTAGTAATAATAAATAACCATCACAAAATAAATCTCAATAAAAAGTAAATCAATTAAACTTGGCGGGTTTGATTTTTGTTTCGTTAGCAACAAACTTGGCTGCGTTACAGTGGCAAACATGAATCTGTGCGCTTTGATTGCAATAATATGCATAATTCTTTTCCTTTTTCCCTTTGCAGCCCTCAAACTCTAGTTCATGCTATAAGGTATGTCATTTGCACTACAAAAAAACATGCTTTTAGCGACGGAATTTTTTATTTAGCGATGGATTAGCGACGGAAATGGATTAGCGATGGAATTTGTTCCGTCGCTAATTCCTTTATCGCTAATTGGTTAGCGACGGAATTGAAGTTCTATCGCTAATTAGTGAGGGATTAGCGACGGATTTTCCGTCCCTAATTAGTGATGGAAAAATTTCGTCGGTAATTAGTGACAGAAAAATTCCGTCACTAATCCGTTGCTAAATCGATTTTTTAAAAAATAAAATAAAATGCCACGTGGCACCTCTACCAATTGCCACATCATCACTGGGGACCACCTCCACGTGTCGGTGCCACCTCATGTCTACTGCCACATGTGCTGCCGCCTCACCTCTGCTTGCCACGTGTCACACCTCTGCCTACCACGTGTGCCTGTTACCTCACCTCTGCCTGCCACGTGTGCGTCACGTGTCACCACCACATAATTCCCTTCTCAAAGTGACTTTTCCATGGCTTGAACCCAAGACCTCCTCCGTGCGCACGTGCAGCTTTACCAATTGAGTTGCAATGAACCTGTTGACTTATTATGTAAAATTAAATATATATTATATTATTTTACACAAACAATTATATATACATATATATTATTAAAAACTAAAAATATACTATATGATAATTTTAATCATAACTATTTTAATGAAAAAATAATTTTAAAATATTTTTTTACTATTTTTATAATGTTTTATGTTTTAAAAAATATTTTTAATATAATTTTAATTTCTAACAACACTAATTTTGAATTTTACATCATAAATAATTTTTCATAAATAATTTTTAAATTTATTTTTTAATTAACATTGATAAGATATACAATTTAATTATATATATTATATTACATTATATTATATTATGTATATGTGGTTTATATATTTGAAGAAAATCATTTACAATTAGTCAAAAAATCTTGTTATTCAAAAAATAACTACTATAGTAAAATCTAATAAATTATTCTATATAAAAAATTAAATGATTTAAATAGATTATGATAAACAGTATTTTCCTACTTGTATATATATCCTATGTAATTTATTTTCTTAAAATTTGCAATGGAATTTGTGACGGAAACAAATTCCGTCGCTAATTTTTGACGGAATTGCGACAGAATTTCTGTCGCTAATTTTTTTGACGGAATTAGCGACGGAATTCTCTGACGGAAAAATATTCCGTCGCTAATTTCGTCGCTAAATACGGATTAGCGACGGAATTTAGCAACGGACAAAAATTCCGTCACTAATCCGTCAAAAAAATTAACGACGGAATTTCCGTCGCAATTCCGTCGCTAATTTGCGACGGAATTTGTTTCCGTCGCTAATTAGCTGTTTTTTTGTAGTGTTGCTCACAGTTACATTTACCTTCCTATTTCTGTCTTTTTTCCACTCTTGAATTGTTCGTTAAATGACTTGACTGTGTTTTAGTGCAGTTCCATGTTGCCATCGAAACTCAATTATATTAACAGTTCGTTCATAAATTTCTAGCACATACTCTATATGACTGTACTGTAAACTTCTTGCCTTCAATGAAGACTCTTTGATGCCTGTTATTAAACTTTATGGTAAGAAGAGTCGAAAGGAGTTTCATAGGAAATGCAAGATAGCATAGTCCATGTCTTTCCTTACTCTTCTCATGATTTGATCAAGAAAACAAAAGTCGGGAGAGTATAAGTAAAAAAATTTTAGGGGTTATGAGTTGTTCCAAAAGAATGTTTCGTTGCCCTGTCACAGTGGCCCAGGATCCATTAGCAACAATGATTTTCCTATACCAAGACATTATTTGTACGTAAGGAATTTATGTGTGGTTTTTGGCTCTAGAGTGAAAGATACATATTCAACAAACCAGATTAGAAGCAAGCAGAGCATATGTAGAGGCAATTTAACGTGAGGTTTGCCATGTGACACTTGAAGCTTGATCAAGATATTCAAAAAGTGATTCAAGTCTTCCCATTTCTTATTGAAGATATTATTTTTCAGAATGGGATGATCTTACTGTAGCTGAAGACATAATTGGGTAATAGCATTTTTTTTCTTTTTTGACACCAAGAATGGGTTCAAAACAATGAAGGCTTACCAATTTCATATCCTGTTTATTACTTATTTTGAAAATCGTTGCTATCCAAAGAGTTTTGCTAATTTTACTACACGCCCAGCTGCAGCTGAGTTAAACTAGTTAATTTCTTTTTTTTTAAAAAAAAGGTTGGCATTGCTTTATAAAAGTCTAGCAACTTTCCTTTGCTGATGAATAATAGTTTGTTAATTATTTTAGCTGTTATTGTTTCTTTCAATCCTATCCCTTCAGGTCATGTTTTTGCTTTAGAATTGATTTACCATTATATGTATTATATCTTCCCATTGTTAGATATAGACAAACAAAGAACGGGGTTTGAATTGTGTGGTGCACTTTGTCAGCTTTTCAAGACAACAGATAAGACAGCAATTCTAACTAACAAAACCAGTGTGCTAGAACAAAGCAGTTTGCTGGGTTGACAGTTAATGAGTGATTTTTCCCCAGCCAGGTCACAAGCACACGAGCATGGATGCAAGATGGTTTGTGATGCTCACGTAAAACATTTATCAAGATGTTTTCCCTCATTCACCACCAATGAATCATTAACTACCCTTTCTAACACAAAGGGGGAAATGTCATGATAACGCAAAATGGAAGAGAGATACCCTCTCATAGGATAGGTTTTGCAGTTAACCTCAATCTAACACTAAAACCACGAACATAATCCCAGACAAAGCTTCAAAGGTTTCGTAATGAATTGGCTAGAGTGGGATTAAGAAACCAATGAAAGAAAGTAAGATAAGATTACTATGCTCATTACAGTTGGATGCGTCTCTGATCTGCTAAGAAACCATTCAAAGTCTTAGCTTTGATTCTTAAAAGCAGGAAAATGAAATCTTACTTGAAGGCAAAACCACGGAGCAGAGTGTTAACAAGACAAGTCACAGCAACCGAAAATGGCTGGGGAAGAAGCTCAAACCATCAGGACGCACAATTGACCCATGCACGAACACAAGCCCGTGAAGCACAGTGGAGATGACGATGGTGAAGCGAAGATGTAGAGGAGATGTGGTAGCTGTGTGGGAAGCTGGAGAAGAAAGCTCTGCCTGACTAACGATGGAGAGACGGTGCCAGATGAAAGCAACAGAGGTAGACAAAGGACGGAGAGACGATGATTTAGAGGTGAAGTGAGAGACAAGATCGCAGGGGTAGAGGAGGAGTGATGCGAGGCCACTGGTGGCTAGAAGAAGAGGAAGCTTTCTTGCGAAGTATGAGAAGGCAGAGCTGGGGGCAGTGGCTTGCGTATGAGAAGGCGAGAGGAGAGGGATTACGGCTTAATGGAGGGAAGGTCAATATTTTTTGAGGGAATTGATTTTTCACCAAAAAAACAAAACCATATGTCAAATTTGCTTTTATAAATGATAAGTTTAAATTTAAGTCTTACTATTTTTCACACACAAGAATAATTATATTATATTTAGAATAATATTATAATGTTTGGCGGCTTTTTTTTAAATCAATATCTAGAAAACTTGATATTAATGTTGATATATTTTGTTCATATAATTTGATTTATATTAATTTGCATTTAACTTTTAAAAAAAAGGAAAAGAAGAATCAGCTTTTCAAATTAATATATTATTATATGATCTATTAAATATCAGTTTAATTTTTTCAGTCTAATTTGAAATAATTTGATATTTTTCAGTTTAAAAATATCCATATCTATTTAAAAAAAGATAAGATATGTATACATAATATATATAACATTGACAAGATCAAATTACATGAAGATATGGACTAAAAAAGGAGAATTATGTTGTCATGAATAAATTACAAGAGATGATACAAAAGATTTATACATCTCTCACATTATAATGATGACTGCTGTAAATTATTGTAATGTACAAT